ACCACCCATTTAACACAAACTACCAAGAATGAGTAAAGTTTCATTCAACCTTTATTTAAACAGGTTAGTCCCATTGAGCCACGAGGACTTTTGTAAATGAGTCCTTGATCCTTGAACTCCTCCACTTGAGGCAGAACCTCACCTTCGACCTGAAGAGAGCAATCCACCCTTTTCCAGTTCAGGACCATGGCCTCCGATTTGGAGGTGTTGATTCTCATCCCAGTCGCTTCACACTCAGCTGCAAAACATTCCAGTGAGAGCTGAAGATCATGGCACAATGATGCCAACAGGACCACATCATTTGCAAAGAGCAGATATGGAATCCTGTGGCCATCGAACCAGAAACCCTCTGCCCCCTGGCTGCACCAAGAAATTCTGTCCATAAAAGTTATGAACAGAATCGGTGATAACGGGCAGCCCTGGTGAAGTCCAACTCCCACCCTGAAGGGGTCCGACTTACTACCAGTAATGTAAACCAAATTCTTGCACTACTTGTATAGGGACTGAACAGCCCGTAACAACGGGCCCCCAATCCCATACTCATGGAGCGGGCCCGTAACAACAGGCCTCCGATCCCATACAGAGCACCCCCCACAGTGTACCCCAAGCAACACGGTTGAATGCCTTCTCCAAGTCCACAAAACACATGTAGACTGGATGGGTAAACTCCCTTGACCCTTCGAGGACCCTAGTGAGGGTAAAGAGCTGGTTCAGTGTTCAACGGTCAGGATGGAACCCAGATTGTTCCTCCTGTATCTTAGGTTCGACCAACGATCGGACTCGCTTGTCCAGTACCCCTGAATAGACCTTACCAGGGAGGCTAAGGAGATTGATGCCCCTATAATTGGAGCACACTCTCCGGTCCCCCTTTTTAAAGAGGGAATCACCACCCCAGTCTGCCAATCCAGTGGCACTGCCCCTGATGTCCATGTAACATTGCAAAGGCGTGTCAACCAAGACAGTCCCACAACATCCAGAGCCTTAAATAAATCAGGGTGACTCTCATCCACTCCTGGAGACCTACCGCTACCTCAGCAATCTCAGCCACGGTTATGCACATACCAGCCCCAAAGTCCCCAGACTCAGCTTCCTCCATGGAAGATGTGCTGGTGGTATTGAGAAGATCCGAGAAGTATTCCTTTCACTTTCCAACAATTTCACTGGTTGAGGTCAACAGCAGCCCACCTTCACTAAACACAGTGTTAGCAAAGTGCTGCTTTCCCCTCCTCAGTTGCCTGATGGTTTGCCAGAATCTCTCAAATGCGGCTGTGACATCCAATAGGACAAGCAGCACAGAATCACCGGTATCTGTGGATCTGAAGATGTCATTAAAAACCTTCAATATGGCATTTTCAGTGCTATGGAGAGGTTTAAAGCCAAATTGGAATAGCTCTAAGATGGCGTGATCCTCCAGGAAGCACTTCAACTGGGACTCAACTATTTTCTCCAGTATTTTAGAAACAAATGGGAGTCTGGAGACAGGCCAGAAGTTGGATACGACTGAGGGGTCAAGGTTAGTTTTTTCAAGAGAGGCTGGACAGCAGCATGTTTAAAGGTTTTTGGCACCACACCAATGGATAAACTACTGTTTACTATAGCAAGAATGGACAGACCTAGAGTGGGAAAAACCTCCTTTAGTAGTCGAGGGGGGACCACATCAAAGGAGGAACCAGAAGGTTTCAAGCTGCACATGACCTGCTCTAGAGAAGATGGATTGATGGGTTCAAAATGGTCAAATAGAGATATAGATTGAGGTGGGATGGATGGGTCATGAGTTTGAGGGGAAATGAGAGCATGGGTGGTCGCAATTTTTTCCAAAAAGAAATGTAAGAAGTTCTCGCACATCTTAGTCAAGGCTTCCAGAGATGATGGTTCAGTGAGGTGGAGAACAGAGTTTAGGGTAGAGAAGAGGACACGTGGGTTGTGAGAGTTTGATGTTATGATATCAGAAAAGTATTTGGATTTAGAAGCTTTTACTGCTTTCTGATAACGGTGCCAACTCTCTTTAAGTATTTGAAAAGAGACCTGCAGCCTGTCTTTCCTCCATTTGCGCTCCACCCTCCTACATTGCTGCCTAACAGCCTTGATGATGTTACTCAGCCAAGGTTCTGCTCTGAGTTTTAATTTTCTAATTTTAACAGGAGTGACATGATCCAGAGTCTTTAAGCAGATAGAGTTGAACTGGTATGTCAGCACCTCTGTGGTGGTGAGAATTACCGGGGGCTGACTTATCTTTTCAGAGTTGTAAGCATCTGTGAAACGTGCGGCATTGAAGTGGTTAATGGTCTGGCTGCAACGTGCAAGAATGCACGGCTTAGGAGTTAGATGGGGGAGGGTGATTTCAAACCGGACTGGCATGTGGTCTGAAAAAACATAATCACCAATTTCAAGATTACTAACAGTCACATCACATTTTAAAACAAGGTCCAACATATGTCCTCGCTCTTGGGTGGGACCGTTTACATGCTGAGTTATTTAAATGCGTCCAATAAATCTAAAAAGTCCTTAACCAAGGGCTTCTCCTGACAGCACACATGCAAATTCAAGTCCCCAATAATGAAAACATGATCATATTTTGGTGTGATTTCAGCCAAGAAATCAGAAAACTCATTTATGAAATCCTTAGACCGAGGTGGGCGGTAGACGAGCACATATTAATTCGGAGGCGAATGGCTGAGTTCAAAGACGCTCAGCTCAAAGCTGGCGTGGGAAACTGGGATGGGCAGTTGTTTACAGTCAACAGTTGATTTGAACATTGTTAATAATCCACCACTGCGCCGGCCTCACTGCCGCGGTATATTAAAATACAGACAGTTCGGTGGAAATAATTCCGTCAAGGCGCTGGACTCACTCGGAGACATCCAAGTCTCTGTGATGCAGAAAAAGTCCAAATCATGCTCTTGAAAGTAGTCCCTGAGGATAAAAGTTTTGTTGGTAATAGATCTTGCGTTGACCAAACGCATCCGGATACTGTTCAAAGTGGAGCAAGCAGCAGTGGAGTTTGCGCCAATGGCCCAAAGTTTTCAATAACAGCCTCTCCGGGACGGCCTGTGCGGCGCACCGGCCGACAACTCCCGTTGTTTACCTGGTCCGGGCACGCGGGAAGCTGATGATGGAAACCATGACTACCAGCTGAAGAGGAAGATGCAGCGCGCAGGGCTATGAGCTTTACCAGCCGCCCAACACATTTTCCCTGAGTTTATGTCCCAGATAAAAAAACGAACAAAACACAAGTAATCCGAACACCATCAGCAGAAGTGTATTGCAAGCCATGTACATGGGCACCATCTTACCAGAAGTCTAGTGTCCTCTTTGCTCCTGACAATCATGATGTTACTCTTTTTTGTATTATATGTAATATCAAAGTCCAATCCATACTGAGAGCAAACTCTAGGTTGGCGCTGTGCTTCCTGAAGTCAATAATTACCTCCTTGGTTTTTTTAATATTCAGAGCCAGGTTTTTCTCTGAGCACCAGGTTGCTAGCTCCATGATCTCCTGTCTGTAAAATGTCTCATCTGCCTTAGAGATTAGTTCGACCACTGTGGTGTCATCGGCAAACTTGACGATGACGTTGTTGTTGTGGGCCGGGCTGCAGTCATGGGTGTAGAGACAGTACAGCAGGGGGCTCAGCACACAGCCCTGTGGGGAGCCAGTGCTCAGCGTACGAGAGGTGGGGGCCAAGTCTTACAGATTGGGGCAGATTGGTTAGGAAGTCTTTTATCCAGGCGTGTGTGTGTGTGTGGGGGGGGGGGGGGGATTGTCCAATTTGTTTATAAGAATGTCTGGAATGATTGTATTAAAGGCCAAGCTGCTGTAATCCACAAAGAACATTTGAACATAGCTGTGCTCCTGTTCCAGGTGGCTCAGCGCGGTGTGGAGAGCTACTGCAATAACATCCTCTGTGGACCTGTTAGTGCGATATGCAAACTGGTAGGGATCAAAGTTTGGAGGGAGATGGTCCTTGATGTCCTGGAGAACCAGTCTCTCGAAACACTTCATGATTACCTGAGTGAGAGCCACTGGTTGATAATCATTTAGGCTGGTGATGGTAGGCATTTTCGGCACTGGGATGATAGTTACAGATTTTAAGCAGGGAGGGATGAGTGCCTGAGCCAGGGAGAGATTGAAAATTATGGTGAAGGTGAAGGCGAGCTGGAGCACACATGCTCTGAGCACCCTGCCATTTACTCCATCTGGGCCAGTAGCTTTCCTGGGGTTCACTGCTAGGAGCGAACATCTAACATCATGCTCCCGTACAGTGAGTGGAGTGGTGCAGTAACTGAGTGGGTGTGGTGGCAGGAATGGATCAGATGAGTGCTGCTGTAGTGCTTCAAATCGTGCTAAGAAGCAGTTTAGCTCCTCTGCTAGTGATGCACTCAGGTCTTCTGTTGTCACTTCACAGCCTCTATAGTTTGTTCTACACCTTCCATGAGTTGTTACTGGACAGATGGCAGAGCTCTGTCATCCGATCTGAAGGCACTATCGCGGGCTCTGAGGAGTGTGTGGGCCTGGCTGGTCATCCAGGGTTTCTGGTTGGGGTAAACCTGAATGTTTTTGACGATAGTCACATTTCCGATGCAGAACTTGATGTAGTCCAGTACCGTTCCTGTGTATGTTTTCATCTCCTGATGTTCAAATAAGTCCCAGTTAGTTTGTTCCAAACAGTCCTGTTGTTCATCGAGTGCATTACCAGGCCAGGTTGTAACAGTTTTTGTGATAGGACTCGCTCTGCATCTGAGGGGGGGTGTGAGCTGGGGGGAGTAGGAGGGAAAGATGGTCTGACTGCTCGAGGTGAGGGAGGGGTGTGGCTCTGTATGCGTGTTTAATGTTCGAGTAAACATGATCTAGTGTTCTCCCCTCTAGTAGTAACACTTGACATGCTGGTAGAATTTTGGGAGTACGGTCTTCAGATTAGCCGCGTTGAAATCTCCTGCAATTATATGAACACCATCGGGGTGAACCCGCTGCTGTTCATTTATGATGTTCAGCAGGAGAGAGAGCGCCGTATTTACATTAGCATCGGGTGGTATATACACAGCAGTAATTATCACAACTGTTAGCTCTTTCGGTAGAAAAAAGGTCGGCTTCTCACGGACATGTACTCAAGGTCTGGAGAACAGTGATTGTCTATAATTGTCCCATTGTTACACCAGTTCTCATGCACGTAAATACAGAGCCCCCCCACCCCTGCTCTTACCGGAGTCCGCAGTCCTGTCCCAGTGTAGCAGAGAGCGGCCTGCTAGCTGTATGCTAGCATCGGGTATCCCGGGGTGAAGCCAGGTTTCGGTGATAATCAGAACACAGCCGTCACGAACAGCGATTTCCAGTGAGTTGTAATTCCAAGTAATCCGTTTTATGCACCAGGGATCTAGCATTGGAGAGATAAAGGCTTTGTAGAGGTGGCTTGTGAGGTTGTGATCTTAGCCTTAGCATAACGCCAGACCTGCAGCCTCGCTTCTGCTTCCTCTCCCTTCTCCATCTGCACCATCTCCCAGGCCCGACAACAATCCACGGAGAGCTTGGAGATCTCGTTATGCTGTCTGGGATGTTGTGCGTGTAATGAAAGTCACTCGAAACAGGTATTTGGTGCTGCTCACCAATGTCCAAAAGGGTTTGGCATCCGTAGTTGTTTACAAACTCTGCAATGCAAACACGAAAAAAAGGACGTACAAAAACAACATTAAAAGTACATAAAAAGAAGTTGATACAGATTTTCACCATTTTATACACATAGACTAGTGAGCATACCAATTCACTAAGATTCTTAATAGTTATTTCGGTACTCCTTTTTTGTGCAATTTATAAAACAATTTTCCATGATTTACATGATCAAACGCTTTCGAGGCATCAATAAATCACATAAAATTGTGGTATTACGCCTATTGTATAAATCCAAGATCTCCTTTTCATTCAATTTTTTTTTTGAGGAATTTGTTTTGTTTCTTTTAAATGAATTAATAAAATAATAAAAAATACAATATTTTATACCAAAAGTCAGTGTTAAAACAAATAATCAACCAAATGCACATTTCCTTATGCTTGATGTTAAGATAGCACTAATATAGCATCAGCAGGAAAAGGACTGCTGTGATTCTATTTAAAGATACAGATGCTGAAAGAACTCATGAGAAATATTTTAATTATATGCAAAGAGCAATCAAATATGTGTGTCTCATTGTGCACACTTAACATTAAACTGTTTTATCCAGCCATTTAAAACTTCCTGATATATGCTTCAGCAAAAGTTGCAAAAAATTACATGTTGGTCTTTTTTTTTTTTTCCGAACAGGTTGTGACTGGTCCAACCCCAAGACGACGTCTCCTAAAACCAAAGCCAAGAAGAAGCAAACTAAAGAGAGCATGACTCTGCTGCCATGCTTTTATTTTGTGGAGGTACAAATTAATTGGATACATTTATACATTAGGCATGCATCAGGATATTTATACATTGGCTTTTAATTTACTAACTAGTAACCTGCATCACCAACTTTTCTGTATAAACATATCAACAGTGCATTTTCTCTTGATTGAATCACAATAAATGGGATATCCTTATGCATGCTCAATAATCCAGGTAGAAAAATCTAAAAAAGTTAAATCTGGTCCTCTGGACATTCAAAAAAACAAAACAAAGCAAATCAACAAAAAAATGAAGAAACGTTTCGTCTCTCATCCGAGAGACTTCCTCAGTCTGAGGAGCTGTATTCAGCTCAGTCTCTTAAATAGCACCGTCTCAGAGTGGATCAACCAGTTTTGCTGCTGACAACCAAAACCAGCTGATCACATGCTCAAGAAGGACCATCAGCCTAACAACGGATCATTAGCACACTGATGGCTGTTTATTGTTCACAGAGGGCTGAGTGATACTAGCAATCACAGCATTGTAAGAGGGGGACAGTTGAACCCGGAGGC